CATACATAGTAGGATACGAAGGCGACGTTGCTCGAGAGTTCCGTGAACTATTCGACCCATTCTGCGTGGTATAAGACCGCGAGGACGATGTTCCAGAGGGACGAGTGCGGATATCTCGCTTATCCCTTGAAGGGCCCGACCACTCGCTCTCTGTCGCCGCAGAGCTCGCAGAGTCATCCATGTCACCCATGCTACTTCTTCCGCCGCTGGTGGAGCCGGAGCCTGAGATTAAACTGAAGGTTGATGAGTTTGCACTCATATCCTTGTCTTTTTGCTTCTCCTTGTCCTCTAGATCTTTGAAGATACGCATGCGGGCCTCATTATAAGCAGCTTCCCGTTCTTCTATAGTTCGATGTCTTCTACTGCTACCTGTCGCATTGCTACGCGCGCTGACGCTCCCTGATTCAGATGGCTCTACATCTGATAGTTCGCCGTCGTCACCGGCAACCGAGCCTGGCTGCGAGTGGTAACGAGCTCTTGAGCGGTCTTGGATAGCTCTGCGCATGATTTTGAAGGCTGGTTGGGCGGACTCCTCCGCAGGGACAAGCTCGCTAATCCTTCGGGCAGGACTAAAGGTATTTTGAGAATAATTTGATGAACACCGGTGAGATAACATTGATACACAAGGAAAACTTACATTCGACTGTCCACCCGATGGGAGACGTATATTATCTTCGAATTTGGGTCCGTCTCTGGTGTGACGTTATAGTACGATGAACATCGATGGACCAACATTCGTTGGTAAGAGGTCGAGGGGTTTAATTCGAGTCGTACCCTGTCAGAATAATAATTAACACCACATAAAGAAGCACAATTCGGTGATGCATGAGAAAATGAATCAAAGCCAGACGCTTGGCCACATGAAGGGCGTCGTGTGATGACAGATGCTGCAGTTGAGATAGACGACCTTCCACGACAGCTACTCTTGTTGGCCAGCATCTGCTCCAACCTTGTCAAGCTATTTCCCAAGAAACTTGAGTACATTGTCATGTGTGTACAGCTAAACGCAGTCGCATTGACGGCAGACAAAGTACTAACTTTCCCGCATTGGAAAGAGTGAGGAGCGGGGTGATACAATCACCGGTAAATGCAAGAATAGTGAACGCACCTGTCGGTGATGAGATTCTCAATCATCTCTCCAAGCTTCAGGACATAGAGTCTGTCTTTGCTCCTAAGAGCTTCGATGATAGTCTCGGTATACGACACAGCATCGCCAGAGATGGACAAGCTATCGGATGAGCCATTGTGTGGAGACGACTGCGCTAACGCGACATCAACGAGTGGCGAAGAGGTAATATGAGGGAACGACGGAGATTGAAGAGAACGCAGTTCTGGTGCACTTGCGCTGCCTGTGGCAGAAGGCGTGATGTTCTGGGCAATGGTAGGGCTTGGTGCTAAGGTTACCTCTTCCATAGGGGACGCCAGAAACTCCTTAATAGTGGAGCGGAGTAATGTGGGCTGTTGTATGTCAGGAATTGCGGTGTGTTTCACTTCCACGACGCAGAAAACGTGGTCGGTAGGTCGAGTTGGGGGGATTACTATACAATCCTGTTTAGCTCGACTCTTCGTTCTTGTCTGATCGAGGCTACTAAAGGTTGCGGATTGACTGGGGTGCTAATATGACACGCTACACGACCGCTCGTAGCAGATCAGAAAGAGAAAGAGAGCAATGCGGGGTGGAAAGAGAAGAAGGGTACATCAGGTTAAAGGGTAAGAGAGACGGTGTGCGAAGCGCCAGCGATTCTCCTAGGGCGTCTATATTGCTTCATGGAGACACCGACAAGCAGTAGTTCCTGCTTCCATGCGACAACCTCCGGTTTCACTTTCACTCCGGAGGAATGCTCAGAAATTTATAAGTACAATATATCCATATCAATGCACATAGTCCTACGCCATACAGTAAATAATCTAATGTTGGCTCGGCGTACGTGCATTAACGACCTGATAGATGTTGTAGCTCAAGCTGCGCAGGGGATCAATGAGCGTGCTAGTCGGGGTGATCCATCAGTGATAACTCACCAGAAGACAAATATACACATTCCGTAGACTGCGAGCCCAAGAGATGCTCTGTTCAGGCCCTTATTTGTATTTGGGTCATCCCGTGTCAACTGTCAACGCCGTCGGTGAAGATGTCAAACTCGGGGAAATGAGATTGCGCCGTACCTTCCAATAAAAGAGACCGGGGAGGATAAAGGAGATTGTGGTAGACCCTGTGGAACCGACAAAAGATAGCACTAATGCGGTGTAAGCTAGACTTATATCCACCGGCGAACCACCCACTTACCCATTTGTAGGTCATCGACGAAGTAAGCAATGCTGAACCCGCTTGCAACAATCAGCAAGGTGAGGATAGTATGCTTCAATGGGCTCATATCAGGGGAACCGCCATGCTCGTCTTCGATTTCAATGTCATCTTCATCTTCCGTACCGTCTGGTCGTTTTCTGTGGGCCACATGACCGGCATGGAATACCTTGTCAAGGCAATTCCTGCATGGATGCACCTGCAGCGGGTACGAGAAGAGTACGAGAATAGCTATAGCGAGTTGGCCGATGGCAATGAATAGCGACGTCGACGGGTACATCGCAATGATATTCGCACCAACCTAATACCATTGTTAGCTTGTAACATCACTGAAAATTCATTGAGGAACAAGCCGACCTTCGTGCCGAATGTCAAATAACCAAAGACTGCAATGATTTCATAAATCAAAGCTGCAGAACCAATGGATGTCCCGATAACGATGTTCATTCGCTTTTGAGTGTTATTGTTGATCTCGTTGAATATAGGGAAGAGCTTAAATGCATGCCATCAAACAATATTATGAGTATCATCAATCGAATTAGAAGGCACATGATGAGAACTTACATTCTGGGCGCACGTGTAGGCGAACACTTGAACTGGGAAGGTAGAAACGAAATCTGACGTGAAATGAATGAGATGAATCTCGCCTGGCGCCGGTGTGCCTTCTAACGGGAAGAAGTAGCACACGACAACAATGACCACTAGATAGGCTAGAGAATTCATATAAAAGTGTTTAGATCTGATATGTCTCGTAGTGAGTAGGTAATCAGCGTACCAACGGAGAACAATGCGATGTAACTGGTGTGTCTCAAAGAATCCAGCTTCCGGAGGAATGCTAGTGGCAGGAGGGCAACCATCAGGATAGATATCCAAACGCGTCCAGATAGTGCCCAGGCAGGTGGATTGGTGTCAGGAGACGTAAGATCGTGATACAAGGCGGCCACAACATTCGGCATCAGAGATTTGACAATAATCAAGTAGCTTCATGATACATCGAGAATCAACAGCTGCAGAAGATATATTGAACATGTGTACGTACCTTATCGAGACACCGAAGCACTTGATAGCTATCGCAGCATCAAAGAATACAGCGGCACGCGGGAAGGTCATTTCAGCGACAGCAAAGAACGATGCACGTCGATGAGGAGCTTTGGCAGCACATAACGATAGCAGGTAGAGACCAAAACCTGCCACACCACCGGAGAAGAGACATGTTATCATGCCAGGAATGATTCCAGCAGACGCAAGAGCCTACCACACCGATTCACCATTACACATGAACTTTTTAGTAGAGGCTGACGAAACTATAATTCTCACCAGAGGGAATGTGAGCATGCCTTTGGGAAGGTGAGCACGTAGTAGGTTCTATAGGATGAACAGACGTACCACTTCCAATGATAGTATTGGCAAGGTTCCCAACCGAACTCTGGATAGTGGCATGTCCTTCACGTTTCTTTATCAAAGGCTCCTGCGACCTCTCCCCTAGAAGCGCATCGCTCTCTCCAGACGATCCAGGATTGATAGTTTCAGTGTCTATTTCATGAGGGCTTGATTCTTCTGTGGCGCTGGCTACACCATACGTCGGCACTCTTGCCATTTCAAAGGTCTGGGGATGGTGTCCGTAAGTAGCGTACGAGTAGTCGTAGTCTATTTCAGAGCTTAACGAGTCTGCTGAGCTGTGCAGGGCTGAAGCGGCACGGTGGTCTATGGTGTTCAGCAGAAGACCTTGCAGGTAACGCAAGGCAGCCCGGAAACGGAAAGGAGGTTCTAGAAATAAGAGTGATCGACTATGATCCGTTAAGAGTAAACGGCCGCCTCTGGACCACGGAGGCAACTGAATTCCAAAAATGGTTGTTTGGTCTTGTTGAATTCGAAAGCTTTTGAACAACAAAGGACAAACAACATACTCCTTCTCCTACGCCGCGATGACCACGAGGTTGCGACATAGACCCCAAGTCGAGGAAGAAGATGCTGCCGCATTGAAATTAGGACCTGGTACGTGTTTACATAGATCTTGTCCTTTGCATGCTGACGATGTGACTCTACAGAGTTCAACAACGCTGGTTGTCTACTCATTTCGGAGGTAAAGTACTTGCTCGAGAACCGAGACAAGGAAGCCCCCGACACAGCGTGAGTGCGTCCAACTTCACGATCTTACACCATTCTCAATTTATCTTAGTGTGTACAATAAAACATTAGACTATGTGAAGACGTTCGCCAAATTCAACACGACGGACTCTGCGGGCGCTGTTCGAGAGTACGATTGATTTCCCATACTATATTTCCTAGGTTTCTACCATTTCTAATCCCCCCTGGTCTCGCTTACATAGAACCCTTCGCCGAGAGCCCGCCTTGACACAGTTTGAAACTGCTCAAATTGCCAACTTATGTCCGGCAGATGCTGAAGAAGCAAAGAGTATCATACCAAGGCTTGTCTGTTTATTCTCGTAAAACTTGCCTATTCTTACATGTTGTTTTAGCCTGCTAAAGATAGATGATGATCGGCTTCAGGTTCTGTTAGACGAGATTCAGACTATGCGCAGATTCCAAACCTGATGACATTACGTCTTTTCGACTGTCTCTCAGGCTAGTTTGAAATTGATTTGTTGTTTTGGTTGTTACATTAGTCGGCAATAAAATATATGTGAATGTGTATGTGTACTCTGCAAAGAAAAAGTCACAACAATCACTATATAATGGGCCTGGCCGGGAATTGAACCCGGGACCTCCTCCAAATGTTGTGTTTCAAACACACCCTAAGAAGGAATCATACTACTAGACCACCAGGCCATGTGACAATGCCTTTGGCATTTATTGACATTACTCCTTGTAGTATGTATATCATTACAATATTAACTAGCAGCTGAAAATGAGGACTTCAACATATTAGAGGCTCATGAATTATGAATCATGACAGAAAAGCATGCATTACTTACTGACAGTTATTGTATCACTTGCTCATATCCGAGTCTGTTGATTCCGAGTCCATATGGCACTAATCTGGCAGCTTGATTCAGGCTGTTGGCAAGCACAACCAAACACAACCTTTACTCGGAAATACACCCTCTCTCGTGGCTCATCGGCGAGATGGCCGAGTGGTCTAAGGCGCCAGACTAAGGCACCTCATTGAATATTTATCTGGTCCGAAAGGGCGTGGGTTCGAATCCCACTCTCGTCATGCAACCCTGAATCTTCTCTTTTATATCCAAACAGTCGGTACCCCCAAGTCTCAGAGCGGTGTGCTACATTAGGTTCAATCAAGGCAAATGGCATTGAAGTTAACATGTAGCTTAGTACAATCAGATGATATGTAAGATAACAACAACATCTATCATGCACAAAGATGAGAGTTGAATCCACCAGATACAGAAACTCGTTTAGGCCCTCTGGGGATCTTGCCCTCAGTGCCATGCTGGATTTCCAAGTGATCCTTGCACTCTTTCCTGCACATGAACACAGTTTTGGTGCAGATGGGGCATGTGTACCTCTGCGTCATCGGAAGATGCTTTTCGAGTAAATGCTTCTTGAGGAGGTCTTGGGTCATGTAGGAGCTGCAAGAGTAGACGGGCGAGCACCGTGTGCGAGGGGGTTCTCTCCACAGGCATTGAGAGGCGCGCTCACCCGCAAGAATCTTGGAGAACGAGGCTTGAATATGTGCACTCATGTGTCGCCAAGTCGCGTCTCGATCATTTGGATCGAGCAGTGTCATGCATTTCCCCCACTTACATGGTTCAAGGGGGGCGTCGAAGAACTCCGCCTCGACGAGACACTTCTTATCGGATTCACTGTTACGACATTAGGATCAATATCTTTTGAAGGATGTTATATGCTTACTAGCCATTCCAAACATTCGGGGCGAGGAAAGTCATCTTGAGGGTATCTAAGTCGACACAGGTAGAAAGCGAATCTGTTTATATGTAAGAAAGAAAATCGCCACAGAAGGGGTACTGCCAAAGTGTGCCACACGGTACTTCATTGGGCCTCCGGCCACACTGACCTATGGCCTACCGACAGACAATGATTAATAACGTGCAACCATTGACCGTGAGTGGCAATGATTAGCCTAAATAACAATAACGCGATCATGAGTGACAATGTGAAGCCCATACCAGTGTTGGTGAATGACTAGTACTTCGACACGAGCAACAAACGATCTACATGGGATCTGCCAATCCGACTTTACGTGAGATCTTGGTGAACAGTCTATATATATGAACGAGTGCATTTAATTTGTGAGGACTCATCTGGCGAATATTTCGTCACAATATAGAAAACGACTGTACGTCGACACGATGATGCTATACAACAATTGCAACAACTGTGTACCATGCATCCGTCGTGAAGTCCAATTCGATCATGGAGGTCATAACTTGAACTTGAATGATCGGGGGATGGTGGCGCTGGGATCATCATGATTTCTCCGCTTTACAGTCTCACGCGCCTTGAACCTGTACCCAACTCGGGGACAGCTGCCTGGACAATTGCTTCGCCTCAAATCTTCTTGCTACCTCACCTGTAGTAAAGCAGACTCAAGCCCATACATCTGAGTCAATACACCCCAAGCGATACCTTGTTATTGTGTAATTGTCCGACTCCATACCCGCTAGCCTTCCCGGGACTTCGGTACGTTCATGAGTTTGGGCTGGGCCGTCCGGGTAACTGTATTGACTGAATCTTGTCGGGCACATTTACATTAGAAGCACAAATATACAACACTCGTGCTCTACCCACTAGGAACCTCTGCAAACTCAACGAGTCGCAACTGCGTCCATCATGTCCAGCCCGCCGGGCAATTCAGTACAGAGTGGTGCAGGCCCCTCAAATGCTAATGGAACAACAACCAAAAGCGGTCTCATTCCCACCAACACGGTCACTACGAAGGATGGCTTGACCGTTCGTGTTCGCATTGACCCAACACTTGCTGTAGACGACGTCATTCGGCAGCTTTGCATTAACCTGAGGATCAAAGATCCGCCTGGGGTGTTCGCTCTGAGGGACGATACAGATGAATTGGTTACAAATGACAACTTGAGGTCTAAGATTAAAGCGAAGGTCAACTTAAAGTACGTCCGTTACGTCTTCATTACTTGCAGAGGCAGTGCCCTGTATGCATTAAACTTACGCGTTAACATCTAGGCTTGTGAATGCACCCGCAATTGAAGCAGCAGAAATCGTCGAGAAGCTCTCGGTAAAGGATGCTAGACTTGGTCTTACTCTTACTTCCTTGCGCAAATATATCAAAGTACGTCGTAGCATTGAAATATTACAAAATTGATATCAATTTCGAGTCTTTGTTTCAGGAAGAGCAATTCGCAACGGACTTTCTCAACCGAGATGGACTACGGGAGCTTATAGGAGTAATCAGCTATAGTCACGGAAATACTCTCGCAGTATGTCTTCGTATATTCTCCATTTCTCTCTCTGTATATCTCACCAAAGCACTCCTAGTATGCTTTGACGGCAATGCAGAATCTCATGGAACTCGATCATGGCTGGTCGAGCCTCTCCGAGTCCTTCATCCTCAAGATAGTGCAAATTCTTGCATCCGAACAATCCCTCATAAATGTATGTCGACCTGCGACTGCCATTCTCAAGAAACTGGTTGAAGCGGACCCCGCAAGCGCACCTGGGAGCTCAGTCATGCCAAGTTCAAGTAAGGCACCACCGACACCCGCTCCAGGGTCAGTCTACAAGTATGGGTTCGAAATCGTTTTCGAGCAAATGAGGAAAGAAAAGAGGATGCTGGAGACTGTGGTTGGCCGATTAGGGAGTGCAGATACTACCATGGCACTCTATAGGTAAGACTGAATTTTTTGGAAGGATTTTTGTGGTCTTTGATCTAATGCTTCGCTGGCAGCATGATGTTGATCAACTCGTTGATGGCTCACGCAACTGACGCGCGATGGGAGGAGTTCATGTCCTCTATTGAAAGATTGAATGTGAACAAAGCGGTCATTGTATGCTTATTATCCCTGCTGGCTCCTTTCTTTTCACGAATATTTTATCTAGCGTCTTATGTCTTCGCATACAATCGAAGACCTGACATCATGCATCCTCGATTATCAAGCTAACGTTGTTCGTGCAACATACCGTCGCAAGATGACTATGGTTGAACCCGATGCTGTCCCCGCTCATGCAGAGGCCCTGACCTTCGTTTGGTCAGAAAGTAAAGTCAACGAGGTAGATGGTCGAGGTGGCATCCGCAAATGGAGACAACTAGGATTCGATACAGAAGACATTACGCAAGAGTTCCATGAAGTCGGAGTGTTGGGATTACAATGCCTTGTATGTTTTCTCTGAATGATACCCATCAGTATGCTAACAAGATACACAGTTTGCCTTCGTCCAGAAGGATCCTGATTATTTTTCCAAGGTGATTCAAGAACAACTGAGCAGACCGGAAGAACGTCGATGTCCGATTGCGAAGGCGTCAAACGAAGTCGTCGACTTGTTGTCGGAACATTGGGCTATTTTTGGTTCATGTAGGATCTTTCATCAAAGGTTTCACAATATCCTACTTATATTTCTCGATAGATTCGGCATCTACGACATTCCAACCTTTCTTCCTCAGTTTTGAACGCGTACACGGTCTCGCCACGCAATTCTTCTTCAGAATGTGGAACGAAAGCGGTGCGTCACGAGGCGATTTCTCCAGAGTCGTCGCTCTTGTACGAAGCCAGTAAGCACTTACTCTATTTTCTCTACTTTCTGTACTCATCAAATAAAGGGTGAAGGAAGCGTTACGCAAAGAAAATGTGAGGGCGTGGCACGAAGTCGAGAAAGAGTTCCTCGAAAGTGAATACCGAGCTGTCCGAGACAGACAAATGAAGGAACTTGAGATGGAAGACGATGTCATGGGTAGGGTCCCTATACGGTTAGTTTCGAGATGAAACATCTCGATGATTGATATGTTCTGATCGCTGACAAAATGATGATATTGACGGTTAACAGAAACCTTCGTGCGAAACTGTACAAGGACTCACTTGAGTTTGTCCGTCAACAACGAATACACTGCCTCCTTCAGGGTGCTTGGTTCATGAATGCGATTCCTGTGGTGACTAATATTTCAAGGGATACCATGCGAAAACCTACTCGGCCATGGAGATTTATGAGACTGGTGAGTGATGTTGGTTTATGTTAAAATATGTCTCTTGACATATTGCTCTCAATCTAGGATAACGGCATGAAATATCTACATTACGTTGATAGCCAAGCTCAATTTACAGTCCGAAGCGGGCTAGAAGACCTTCCTGAGCGACTAGACATCTCTCTCATCAACGAGGTTACCATAGGGACTTGTGCCCCTCTACCCAACATCCTTCGGGATCAAGGCGATCTCACCTACAACGTATCTCAACTTCAGGCGTCGTCACTCTCGTTTGCACTGCTCACTGCGGGCGGTGGCTTGCTTGCAGCACAAATTGCCCCTGATAAATCACGATGGGCGGATTGGACCGACGGGTTGAACATGTTGAGAAGGGACGGAGGCCATGTTGCATCTCAGGAAACGGAGATGTTTGTCCAGGCGCTGACAGATATTGGATTGAAGGTTCGATTGCTTAGTGAGTGTCAATTATCTTGTCACCTATCCATTCGGAATAATGACTATCATTGTGTTACAGATTTATCTGGAGATAGGGCTGATATACCTAGTGGGATTGTACAAGGCCAGCCACCAACCAACAATGACTTTTTCTTTTCGGACTTGTTGTATGATACCCAAGGGTAAAACCATGACGATGCTGTTTAATTAACCTCACTACTATATATCTATGTTTGTATATTTATTT